CTGAATCTCATATGACTTCCCTAAGATTTCAGTTTGCTTCCCTCTCTCACCCACACAAAGGATTTCCAAAATGCTGTTTTAAACACCCAACCTGACCATCTATTCACTCTTCTATCCTACCAGGAGTTTCCAGAAGGAATCGTGTAAAGCAGAAAACTAAGTTAAATGTCCTAAATCCCCTCCTCCAAGGCATCTCTCTTCTTTATTACAGAGAAATTCCTGCGAAACAAATCACATAAACCAGCCACTACATTTCAGCAAGGTATTATGTATACCTTAGGTTCCCAGGTATAAATTATCTGGGTATCAAAGCAGCACAGTCACTTCAGCATTAATGTAGGAGAAGGCCTAACTACTTCACTGCCATACGTGGAAGTACGTGAAGATTTAACAGCTTTAATGAAACATACATGAAAAACGTTTCAGACATGCATTATATTACACGCTGCATGTACAGCATTTCCCCCATGCCTCCAACTAATTAGCCAGATTATCTAGACCACAGTGGTCATTCCCAATGGCAGATGAAGACATCTCGCTCCTAAAGGGCTAACAGTCACTTAATTGGGATTTCACTTTGGACAAATCGCTACAGCTTCCTCAGTTTTCAGCATCATTTTAGAGAACCCTGTCAGGACTTCAAGGCAACCTGAGGCAATGGTGCCAGCCGACAGAGCGCAGCGCTGAATGACATCGAATTCAGACACTGCCCCAGCACCACACACCAGCTAGGGCAGATGTGCTCAGGAAGGGCAGCTGCCCACAGAATCACTTTCTGTCTCCACTTGAATGCCACTTCTCAGCTAAGAAGTTGCAGTCACGTTGCCAAAGGGCAAAACTGAGCATAAAACCCAATTCCAGCCCCACTGCTCTCACTATTCTTCACCAACTATATGTGAAAAATTCCACACATTAAAGACCACCATCCCTGCAGAGTTCTATTGTCTCAAGTTATTAATTAAGCATGCTCTCAAAGAAAGTTAAATCCCTCAAATCATTTGCTTTACCAAGCAACTCCCATATTATTCTAACTGCAATTCAGACAGGAGACCACCATGAGACAATCCTTGCCCCAGTTCAAGAACATCCATGCACACAACAAGCCCCAAGAGACCCCAACCAAGAAAACCCACCCAATTTTTCTGAAAGCTCACTCAATATTGTTAACTGCTCCAGAAGAGTACCTCAACTGCCTCGTATTTCCCCTGGGAGCAGTAGATGGCTGTTTGCATTTGTAATGGGAGATACAACCTTCCACAGGCAAATCAAACCCAATCTAGGTCCTCAGCCATCAGGAATCAACTTCTACCTCTTCACTCACCTACGTGAAATTCAGATCTGCATCTGTTTCCTGCAGGACAAACAGCATAAGAACATCCTAGCTGGTGCAGCTGCCCGAGCAGCCTCAAGAATAGTAACGCACTCAAGATGAACTACAGCTAAAACCTTCAGTCTGCATCTTGGGATTACTGATGGACACTGACACTCAACTTATCTTGCTTCTTTCAGCAGATAACGTACGTCTGCAGTCAAGACTTGGCTAACAGAAGGGTCTTCAATGTAAAGAGTCAGATGATTAGATAAATGTTTGCAGCTGCAGGCAGATAGAAGTTTGTTCGGGAGTTCAGAAATTCAAATACGGGGGAAAAAAGTGTAATTTCAACATTACCTCTTTGTTCATGCAGACACTGCAGAATTCATAACGTATACTACCTGGATAGAAGCAATATCTACAATACCTTAACATGCAACATGACAGTAGTATCTTCCACTGCTTTACTCCATACTGCTAGGTAACTTCCCTTCCTGCCTCCATTCTTATGGAAGAGAGAAATGCAAAGGGAGGAGGATTTTTGTTAGTTATAATGCAAAGAACAGCTGGCACGTTCCTCCTGTTCACAACAAGGACATGACCTGCATCCTCAGGAGAAGAAAAACGTTTTGGTTTGTTTTTTTCCCCTGGTAAAGCCATTCACACCTCAATTTGCAGAGCTGTTGGTAAAAGATAAACAAAAGGCAGAGAAGCAGACAGTGCAATAAAAAACAAAAACCAAGGACAGCACAAATAAATTGTGACTATCACTCTCAACTGCTCATGACACACAACAAAATACCATCACTGCTGAAATCACTGCAATATTAACACCAACAGACAGGGATAGATTCTTGTCTACGTACATAACAAAAAAGAAACTGGGATTCAACAATTAAGAAAATCCCTCTACCCTTAATTACGATCTCCTAAGCTCCAGGCAAACACTAATCTACATCATCCTATAATTAATTTTTCTGACTTCCCATTATCTTTTAGCTAGTGATAGGGGAAGGCAACAAGAAGGGCTTTGTGGCACCTGTGGTTGAAAGCTTAACACCAAGCATCCAGCAATACGAGTGCATCACAACCAAACAAATCACGAGCTCACAGACACCCAGGAGGATGACCCATCCCTCTGCACCTCTCACCACTTCCCTGCACTGCTTCAGCTCTCACAGGACAAATTCAGTTCCACTTCAGTTAAGCCCAAATTGAATTAAGTAGTTTTGTGTAAGATTAGTTCTTGCTCCAAGGAATTGATAATTTATGAAACAGATGCAGGGATGGCCAAAAAGTCAAAAGGAAAGGCAGCATTAGGATTACAGACATCCTGCACTGTTTCCCGTGAGTTAAAACCCAAAGCAAAGAGAACCATAGGGAATAAAAAAAGGCACTCAGGAAAGACTGAAGCAAGAACATACAGTTAGAGAGCCCAATCACTGTTGCATACAGACACCAGAAAGTAGAAAAGCTTACAGTCCCACCTCAGAGCTGACTTTAAAGAAATTAAATATAAAGATTGGATAAATGACTGATTATAAATGCAAAACATCAGGACTGAACAACAAAAACACTGCAGCTATGTGAAAACCACCTGGAAGAAGAACAGATAAGGCTTCATCCTGACTACATCACAGAGGGTGTTTCTAAGGCCTCAGGTCCCAGAACACACATGAAAAAACCTCAGCTGGAACCTCACCTTGCAGGTATATCTCAACCATACCATCTTCTCAGAAGTGAAGATGTGACCCTGCACACAGCAGGGGGGTTGAAACTAGATGATCATTATGGTCCTTCACAACCCAGGCCATTCTATGATTCTTTGAGAGTTCTGCCTTCAGTGATTACACACACTGTTTCTGTAAAGTTCCTTCACACTGGTAAAAACTAACTAGTTTCTCAAGTAAGCGCTGGAAGTCACATCACCTCATTCAAGAACTTTGTGAAGAAAATCAAACTGAGGAAAAGCATCTGCTGACATTACACCACATCCATGCAACAGGGGGGCTCCCTGACAGTAAGTCTTCAAGTTATTGAAGAGCGCAGTAAGAAAAGTTCCAATCCTGTACTATTTTTAATGCCTGCAGGTCCACTCCCTCCATCTCCAAAGAATTCTGGTGGTTTTGCTTCTAGCGCTTTTCAGAGACAGGAAGATAAAAGCATGAGCTGAAGGAAAACAGAATTAACAGTTTTATGACACATCTTTCGACTTACAAAGCCATCTCTACACAAATATGCAAACAACAGCATTCCCTGCCTAAACATCTCCACAGCAGGCCGGCCACATGGCAACTGCTATTTAAAAACTCAGCAGTTACAGCCACCAAGTAAGAAACGTTTGCTTACTTTTCTTATACTGCTTCAAGTGCACAAGAATCGCTTCCATCTGTGTCTCTAGAAGCAAGTCCCCAACTGTATTCAGTGACTCAAAGCTTAGACAGCATCAAAACGAGATGCAGTTCTACAGTTATCCCTAAATATTATGCTCCACAGAAGGGAATAACTCCAATATTGTTCTAGCAGCTTACTTCATATGGCACTACTTGACACGATTTCTCTTACAAAACAAATTAACAGGGCACTCGGGTTTTCTTTTTTATTGATGCACACACTGACTTCAGTGAGGTTGCAAAATTCACTGCAACATTTGCTTTCAAAGGGCTCAGATGACAACACATCCCCTGGGGAGGCGCAGCACAGGAACAAGGGCTTGATCACTTTTATTTTAGAAATTAGAGGCAGGAGATCTTAACAAAGGTTGCGAAAGCTTTGTGTCTGCTGCTCTGAACAGATCTGTGGGAATCATGCATTTGAACAACATGCCCACACCTAAGCTGCGCTTCCTATGCTAAGGGAGGCATGGAGCAGATCTTAGCTCACTGCTGCATTTGACGAGTTACTTACAGGTCACAGTCAGCAAGCTACAGTGAGTCATACACCCATTTCAGTCTCAGCACATCTGACAATGCAGTGACTGAAAAGCCTTCTAGTAAACACTACTACTAAGGTATGTTTTGGCCTACTACCCCTTCAGAATCGTTCAGTCACTGGAAGGCGTTAGCTGCATTTGTAAAAGCACTCATTGTTCCTCGTGTTCTTAATGATGTTCCCCTCTCAGACCAGCTGAGCATATTAATAGCACTTTCCCCATTCAAATATTGGAAAAAAAAAAAAACAAAAAAACCCACACCAACCAACCTCAGAACAAATAAGCAAGAAATGCAGGCAAGCACACATCACAAGCTACTCCCGTAACAGTGTTTTTCAATATTGGGAATGGTAAAAGCTCAACCTACATGCATTGGCAGTTTTGTAATACCATTACATAAGAATTATTTAACTACAGCAACAGATTTGAAAAGCAGCAGCAGCCACCACTAAACTGGTTCACACAGACACACAGAGGGGAAAAAAAAAAAGAAAAAAAAAATCAATAAAGGGAACGATAACTTCTGCAAACACACATTTGACTGTCAGAGTGCACTGGGATTTCAACACCCCTGAGAACCAAAACATTCCGGTTTACAGCTAGCAAGGCACTGCAATCCTGAAAAAAGAAAACAAGCAGGACTGCTGGCATTCCAACCGTTAAAAACAAAACATCTTAAGCTTTAAACAATGTCATTAAAAGCATCTATCACAAGCCCGACGCGCTCACGTGTTCAGCTTGGAAACATTTCTTTACCTGATGTTCTGCATGAATGTTATCCCCAGTAGGCCAGCGATGTTTGCTGTTATTATAGCCGCCTCCACCACTTCCTCCTCCCCCAAGCTGCTCACCATGCTGCCTCTGAAAGAAGTAATCCACCATGGCGTCGTCCTGGGAGCGGCCTGCAACTCCTATGGATCCAGGAACAGGACTGGAGTGCGTCCCTGCTGCAAGAGCCTGGTTTGCAGCTGGCTGTGGCTGAGCCTGGGACCCTGTTCCAGATGTCAATACAACAGGCATGTTGGGATTAGCTGTATCTTGAGCGTGCTGTTTCAGGTGGGGGCTGAACGAGTCCTGCCAGAGCACTGCTTTTCTCTTCAACACACACGCAACGCTCATTCCACCAACACCTACGGGGTGAGGGCACGGAGGCGAGACAGAGAGAAAGGGAGAAGGAAAAGGGAAGGTTAAACCCTTCAAGCTTCAGCTCTGCGCATTCAGTAACACCCCTCTGATGTGGGAAACATTATGATGCCACGGCCAACTCCTCGCAACGGTCATTTTGCAACTAAAACACCACACAGAAATGCACATTCAGCCCCAAAAAATCCCACATTTTCTGCTGCTGAGTGTTATCAGCGTGAGACTCGCACAGCGCACCCCGACACTGAAAGCAGAATGCCCATCTATGCAACAGACAAAACAACCCAAGTGCCGCCACAGAAAACCACCAGAAAGAAATCCCCCAAAGAACACAGAGCAACCCAGACTCCACCATCAGTGTCTGCCGTGCTTGTTTACACCTCCCAGATCACAAGGCTGAGCTTCCATCAGCATACAAGTGTTGCGCACTCACACAAAACATCAAAGCTCCCAATGCAAGCTGAAAACACTGGATTTCTGCTTAACCAGGTCACACACTGTGCACCATCCTGCTAACTCGAAGTTCCAGCTGCACGCAGCTCATCGGTGCCAGAGCAACGCACACCTTGTGGGGCTGCAGGCAAATCTCAGGCGAGACCCGGTAAGATCACTCTGAATTTCTGCACCAGCAGCTCCCCTCCCAGAATCTTCCTCTTTCATCTAACACAGATGAGGCAGCGCTAAACAAGCGAGAAAACTTGGCAAAGGAGACATTTTGAAAGGGAGCAAAGGGGAAAGGAGCATTGTGGGTAGTTCAAGTTTAGTTCCAAGATGTGTTTTTATAGAAATGCCGCGTTAAATGTAGCGGACAGCTGAACGCTGTCATTCAAAGCACACAGAGCATCAGAAATATGTTAAGTCACCTACACAGCGCACATTCATTAGCTACCAGCAGCTGCAAGGCTCTGCTGCAAGCATTCAGTGGCTGCTAGGACCCGGCTAACTCCCAAACTCTTCCTAAAAACATGCAATAAACCTTTCCTATGTAAACAGCTCCCTGCGAAGAGTTACACATTTACAAACAAAGGCAGAATAGCCAGGAGATTTGGGCAGAGCGCTGCCACAACACGCTCCAAGCAGACAGCTTTCCTTTCCCCCAGACCAAAATACAGCATGTAAATAAGGCGCTCTATGTTACCATGAGCAGCAAAATAGTTTAGATTACGAGGCTTTAAGCAGTCAGCTGAACTTCAGAGGCATCAAGGAGCAAATTTCAAGCACAAGAAGCGATGTCTCTCAGTGAGGCAGCACGGCCCTGCCTTTCCTACAGACAAACCCACTCTAAAAACTACAGGCAGCATTAGAACACAAAGCTGGTGGCAGATGAACACCTCAACAAGTTGAATGCAGAGCTGGATGGGAGTTCTTCAGTGGTAGTTTGGGTGGTGGGGTTTTTTTGTTTTTTGTTTTGTTTTGGTTTTTTTTGTTTGTTTTTGGAAAGCTGGACTGGAAATTCAAGCTCTCATTGTTTGAGAGCTGCATGGCCTATCAGAAGTTTTAAGGTGAAAGCATGAAAAACCTGCAGGAAGTGGGAAAATTGATAACCAACCTGATTGCTTTAGGCAGCGTTAAAACAGGGGGTGGTAAATGCCACCCTTCACCCTCACTCTTCATAAAGGAAATTCCTTACTCATGATCTGTGTAAGGAAATCTCTGCTGTGAGCAAAGTTACTAAACACGGAACAAAACAAACGAAAAACAAAAGGGAAAAAACAAAACAAAACAACCAAACGAATCAAAATGCCAGCAAGTATTTCTCAGGTTGGAGGGGGGAGGGGTAAAAAAAAAAAAAAAAAAAAAAACACAGGATTTTTCTCTAACAATCACCAAGTGTGTAATTAAAAATGTCCAAACGGCAATGATGGGAAGGGAAAACAACAAGGAGAGGGGAGAAAAAAAAAAACCAAAAAAAAAAAACCACAAACGGGGCCACAGCGCACATTCAAAGTAGCGCCCGCATTGTGCCTCCGCCGGGCTCCAGGCCCCGCGGCCCCCCCTCTGCCACGGACCCCCCCTGCTGCCCTCCCCCGGACTCCCCCCGCCCCGCCGCGCCCACCCCAGCACGGGCCGGGTCCCCCCGCCCTTCCGCGAGCAACAAAGCGGGTCCGGGCCCTCCCAGCCAGGCCTGCCGGGGGCTCCCGGGAGGGGCTGTGCCCGGGGGGGGCCTCACCGCCACCGTGAAGGAGCGCGGCCCAGGGGGCGCCGCCACGGGGCCGCCCCCGCCAGACAATGCCGCCGCCGCCGCCGCTCCCCCGCGGCCGGATGGGGAACGGAACGGCTGGGCGAGGGACGGGAAGGGCCCGCCGGGTAACAATGGGGCCGACGCACGGCCGGGCGCCGAGCGGGAGAGCCGGGCGCAGCGCCCCGCCGCCGCCGCTCGCTTCGGGCCGCCCCGCCGCCGCTCCGCCCGCTCCCCCCGCCAATATGGCCCCACCGGAGGCTTCGCAGGGGTGCGCGGCGCGGCGGGGGCCCGATCCGGTGCCGATACTCACGGGCGGAGCGGTAGGATGAAGCTGGATCTCGGCCCCCCCCAGGCCGCTCGCCGCCTGCCTCTCCCCCTGCCTTTCACTCCGACAACATGGCGGCCCACTGGGGACGGGCGGCGCGCTGCATGCCGGGAAGGCGAGGCGGCCCGGCCGAGGGCGGCCCGGCCGCGGCCCTGGTAGGCCCCGCGCGTTTTGGGGGCGGCTCTGCACGGCCCAGGTTCGGCTCCGCGCCGTTGTCGGTGTTCCTCGCGCCGGGCTTTCACGGCTCGCTGCTCTCCCTTCCCATTTGCACTGCTTTTTTTCCTCACAGATGTGCATGCTCTGCCCCACACCTCACCGCCGCCACCTGACTGGGGATGTGGAGAAGCCCAGTCCCGGGTTTTACCCACTCACCACTGACAGCCCTCCCCACTAACAGCTGTGTGTGGACACCTGCTTGCATTTTACTGGATAAAACACGCTTCCTGGCACAGGCTCCTGCACAGAAGCACTACAGTGCATGATAGACCCCTCTGTGAAATACGGGGCTCCCACCCCAAAACAGACCTGGTGCCAGCGATGAGCGGAGTCTTAATGAGATTAATGTGTGAAACTGATTGTTTTCCAGTTCAAGTTGCCAAGGCTGAGTGAGGGATCTGCCAGGTTGTTGCATAGCTGTGGTCGCAACATTCACTGTCCCTTATCTGATCTATCTGGGAGCTTTGGAGGAGTTGGATGGGTGATAGAACCATAGAATTACTAAGGCTGGAAGAGGACTCTAAGATCACCCAGCTCACCCCACCATGTCCACTGCCCACGTCCCTCCGTGCCACATGTCTATGGTTCTGGAACACCTCCAGGATTGGTGACCCCCCTGCTCCCTGTGCAGCTGCGCCACTGCATCAACACTCTTATGGAGAAGGAATTTTCCCTTATATCCAGCCTGAACCCAACATCAGAGCACAGCATTTGTTAATGGCATTGCCAGGCCCCCACATGTTGCCCCCAAGCTCTTCATTCAAACACTGACACTCCTAAGGCCACATGGCATCCACAACCACAGCACGACCACGCTGTGTTAGTGTGGTTGCTTTTGCTGTGAATGCCATTCAGTGCTGGGAAAAACCATTTGTCAGGGTTCCGTTCACACAGAGCCCAAGGAGAGGCAGAAGCAAGCTGCAGAGCATGAAGCAGAGCAGCCAGTGCATCAATAGGTGCTGTTTCCTGCCCTGCACACCGAAAGCTGGGCTCTAGCAGCCCTGCACGCCTTTTGGATGTTTTCCCTTTGTTCCCTTTCCTCCCCTTCTCCAAAGCACAAACTACGCACCCCAGCGTGCATTGCTCTGCTCCAGCCATGCCTGCACTCTGGGCATTCAAACAAAGCGCTGCACTCTGGGATTAGAAGTTCCTGAGAGCGCGTCCATATTAAAGGGGCAGCTCATCGAAACCTTCCGAACAGCCTCCCCAGAGCCTGGGGATCCTCCTGCTGTCATAAATTCAGCACAGCTTTGCTGGGCTCAGCCCCGCTCACCACAGAAGCATACTGCCTGTGCAGCAAGCAACACCAGTCTGGTTGCTCTGCTACACGAAGCCCTAAGGGCTGCTGCCAGCGTGGATCTTGCACAACAAGCAGCTCCTGTTAGCGAGGCCGGGCTGCCCCAGGCTCCCCGAGTCCTTCACCAGAATAGGAACATCAGCAGGTTTTTCTGGAAAACGTTCCTAATGAAGATGCAGCTCACAGTGCCACGCGGCACTGCTCTGCTGCACGTGGGGTCAGCCCATCTGCAGCATGGCGTGCACTGACCCTCTATCACATCTTCAGCTCCCAGCTGGTAGAGCACAAAACCTGACCCTGTGCACAGTGCACAAAACAGCACAAGCTTGTGCATAGCAGAGGCCTGTGGGTTCTGATAGCAAAACCATGTTATCCTGGCATGGCAACAAATCATTCTGGAGCGAGAAGACGAGGGATGGAGTCCTGCGGATGAAGTACTGGTGGTTGAAACCCAGCGAAATGGTACATACTCACTTTCACTCCTCCCAGCCTTCCTTCTTTCCTCTCTAACACTACCAGGAGCCAAAACTTGTTATAATCACTGGAAAATTTCTTAAATTCACTGGGGGTTGGCCCAGATCCTCCAGCAGTGGGACATGGAGGATCACCTCAACTCCTCCTGCCCCTGTGCAGTTATTACTATTTTTCTTGTCCATGGTGGGAGGTGGGAAGGTCCTGTCCTTTTTGGTCTCACTGTTACTCTCCCCCTGGCTCCGTGGCCCAGTCTCACTGCGTTACCTGGGCTCCACCTCGTCTGAGAAGGGAAAGTGGCATCTTCAGGAGGAGTGTGATGCCATCCTGACCTCTGAATCACTCCTGGAAGTGCCTTTCTCCCTCCAGTGACTGCCGAATAGCATCCCCAGGCAGGTGTGGCCATGTGCAGCCCTGGGGACATGGAGGAAAGGCCACTGAGCATTTTCACTTCAAAGACAAAAGTGCAATTTTATTATTTCTGAAATTAAAAGACAAATTGGAAGAAAGGGCATTTCTTCCTGCTGCAAAGTAGGGCAGCAATATTTAGTTAGCCACAAAAAAAAAAAAAAAAAAAAAAAAAAATCCACCGTTTTTTTTTCTAAACCAAACCAAAACAATCATACTTGACCAAAAAGAATTCCAAGCCAGACTACTTTTGCAGATGACACCACGCTGGGAGGAAGTGTTGATTCACCTGAGGGTTGGAAGGCCCTGCAGAGCGATCTGGATAGGCTGGGTCGATAGGCTGAGGCCAATTGTATGAAGCCCGACGGGACAAATTCTGGTCTGGCACTTTGGTCACAACAACCCATGCAACGATAGCAGAGGCACTTCTCCCAGCTTGCATTGCATCCCCAAACATTTCGTCTTCAAGAAACCCTTTCCAAGTTCCTGAAAACATCTCTGCATACCCCATCCTGAACACACACACATGCACTGTATGTGAGTGAACGTTTTCCAGGCTGGACCTGTCATCATTAGACCTAGGTGGGAAATACCACGTCGGTTCTGCGGCGTCTTTCCATCAGATAAAGCTTCATTTTCACCAACACTTGTCGCCTACGGGTTTCCATGAGAGGCAGCACAACGTTTTCGGGAGACAGCAGCCAAGCTGGTGAAGTTTTGTGGTTGCTGAAAGCTGGAGGAAGTCCTGGCTGCAGAACCACCTGGCAACATCAAGTCAGAAAGTTTCATCTTGGCTGAAAAATCACTTTTTCTTTCAAAAAATGCAAGATCCCCTTACATGGGGGACACAGCGCCTCATCCCCATTTCTAATCATTAGAGCTCTGAAGCATGCAGCTGATTAAGCTTTCCAGATTGTTTGTTATCATGAACTACATCAACTCTGGATTTTCTTGACAGGCAATTACATGACTAAGCCCTTCGGAAGCTCAGCCTGAATGCAACAAGTCCCAGGGCTTGATTGTGCTTCACGGGCAGCGACTCCCCATATCACTCTGTGTTTGCCATTTGCATTTCGTTGGCTTTCTCTGGGCACTGAGGATGATCCCACCGCCTCTGGGATGTCTCCAGAGATGAGGGTGACAACGTGCTGCTGCTGACCGCCCTCCTCGTGGTGCAGCTATCTGCATTTTGCATTTTGTTTCCCATTCAAGGAAAAAAAAAAAAAAAAAAAGAAGAAAAAAGAAAAAAAAAAAAAAAAGAAAATTTTTGCCATTTAGAGCATCATCCCAGCTGCAGATTTGCATGCTCAGATTTAGGAAATACCAGAATTAAATTTGCCTGCGCAACCTTAATTCAACCCCCTCGGGCGCATGCTTTGTGATCCAGCCTTTAATTACAGGTTTGCAGACGAGGTTTTTCCCACGGCGCCTGTGGCCCAGTTAGTGTCCAGGCTGACTCTGCGGGGGGGACACATCCCTGGGACCCCTCAGTCCCCACCTTCAGATACTGGAGGGAGAGAAAGGGAGCTCTGATGCTCAAAATGCATGCATGCTTCTCTAGCCTTGCGCAACTCGAGCAGCAGAGCCACAATTCAGGGCTCTGGAGGGCTTGGCTGTGAAGCTACGAGGATGGAGCTGGGTGTGTGAGTGTGCAGGGGGCCGGTACCTATAGGGCTGGGGCAGACAGAAGCTCCCTGATGCACCTCCAAACCCCACTGCAGCCCCAAATCCTGATCCAAACAGCTCTTCAGCTCCAAACCCCAATGCAGTTCTAAACCCCAATGCAGCTCCAAATTCTACTGTAGCTCTGAACCCCAGCTTATCTAGCAAACCCCCCCTAGATTCCCTTACTACCTTCTCAGTGTATGGAGCCTAGCTGCCTCCTCCCTTTTCTCCTCTTGCACAGACAGAGCCCTTTTGCACATCACTCCTCCACCCATGCATACCTTTGATTTGGGCACCCAGAGATGCCTGGGTGCTGGGTGGAGGCTGCTTTTATTCCGCTTTCCTTCATGCAGATGGGAACTGAGCAGCTCTTGCATCTCTGCCCTCCACCTGCAAGCTTGCAGGTCTGGCACCATCCTTGCCAGCAGAGGAACCTGTGCTCATGGTGAGGAGGGGATGCACCTGGAGGTGCCAGCTGGGACCTCACCCATGCACAGCCCTTGCCATATGCAGTTGGCCTGCTCGTGTTTCCTGGAGGCAATGCACATGTATTATGGCTGGAGCAAGGGGAGAAGCTCCTTCCGTGATTTGGATCTGCAAAATATGTCTTTGCTGCAAGGCAGCAGGATGGAGGCTGAGGGTAGCAGCACCATAGGGGTCAGGATGAGCTCCACAGTGTGTATAGAGAAAGCCAGAGACAGTGAAACCACAGGAAGAGCCAGCACCATGGGATCAGCCACTCCCCAGCACGGAGCAAGAGATACCAGTGCCAGGAACAACGCTGGGAATCCCATGGCAACGGGGCAGGGAGACAAATTCAGGGAATGGCAGAACGTGACTGGCACCATGCTGCTTTTGGGTGCAAGATGGAGCCTTTCCTGCCTGGCCAGCACCTGCACAGCTCCCGCCTTCCCCTGCACCCGCTGGGTCTGTGAGTTCCAGTGGTGCATGTACACACGAGCACCCCATGGGGAGTGGGGATTTGGGGTGGCAGCACCTGCACCATGGCAAGAATCTCCCACAGTGAGATGCCAGGAGGGGATGTCCTTTGGGGACAC